GAGCAGGTGGTCTGCCGTGCTCCTGTGTGGAGCACGGCAGACCACGGCCATTTCGCTCGAGACATCCTCAAAAAATCGAGGTGTGGTCTGCCGTGTTCCTGTGTGGTCTGCCGTGCTCCTGTGGTCTGCCGTGCTCCCCACAGGAGCACGGCAGACCGCGCGTAGGAACCGAGAGGAGCACGGCCAGACCACGGCCATTTCGCTCGAGACATCCTCAAAAAATCGAGGTGTGGTCTGCCGTGCTCCTGTGTGGTCTGCCGTGCTCCTGTGGTCTGCCGTGCTCCCCACAGGAGCACGGCAGACCACGCGCAGGAACCGAGAGGAGCACGGCAGACCAAGACGAGGAGCACGGCAGACCAGGCTTAGGAACCGAGAGGAGCACGGCAGACCAAGACGAGGAGCACGGCAGACCAGGCACAAAGAGCGCCCTCAAGACGACGGAAAGGATGACCAAGACGAGGAGCACGGCAGACCAAGACGAGGAGCACGGCAGACTATGCCCTAAGAGTGCCCTCGAGACGGCCGAACAACGGCAGACCCCAGAGGAGCACGGCAGACCACAGAAGAGCACGGCAGACCAACAGGAGCACGGGCAGGTCAGACCACCCAAGAAGCACGGAGGCCACACAGGAGCACACGGCAGACCACACAGAGAGCACGGCAGACCACCAAAAGGAGCACGGCAGACCACACAAGAGCACGGAAGGACCCCACAAGAGCATATGTGACCCCACAGTGAGCCACGGCAGGACCCCACAAGGAGCACGGCAGAGCAGACCCAAAGGTAGCACGGCCAGACACACAGGGCAAGGACAAACAACAGGAGCACGGAAGACCACACAGGAGCACGGCCACACAGACCCCACAGTAGCAGGCAGACCCCAAAGGAGCACAGGGCAGACCACAGGAGAACGGCAGACACACAGGAGTACGGCAGACCCACATGAGCACGCAAATCCCAAATGAGCGGGCAGACCACTAAGAGCAACGGCCGATTCCCCAAAATGGCCATTTCGCTCGAGACATCCTCGAAAAATCGAGGTGTTGGAGGCTATCGTTTAAGACGTCTTATGTTAAAAAATGACGGTTTCGCTCGAGACATCCTCAAAAAATCGGGATGTTGAAAAATATCAAAAAAAATTTGTTATGCATGAAAAATGAGCGTTTCGCTCGAGACATCCTCGAAAAAATGAGATGCCGACAGAGGTGTTTTACAACCTCTTATGTTAAAAATGACGTTTTCGCTCGGGACGTCCTCAGAAAATGAGCAGGAGCACGGCAGGCGGAAAAAAAGGAGCACGGCAGACACACAGGAGCACGGCAGACCCCACAAGAGCACGGCAGACCACAAAGGAGCACGGCAGACAAAGAGACGACACAAGGAGCACAGCAGATCCCGCAGGAGCACGGCAGACAACACACGAGCACGGCAGATCCCAAATGAGCACGGCAGACCACAGAAGCACTGCAGACCACACAAGAGCACCGCAGACCTCACAGGAGCACGGCAGACCCCACAGGAGCACGGCAGACCCCACAGGAGCACGGCAAACCACAAAGGAGCACGGCAGACCACAGGAGCACGGCAAACCACACAGGAGCACGGCAGACCACACAGGAGCACGGCAATTCCCACAGGAGCACGGCAGACCGCGCGCAGGTACAACATAAACGCGCCTTTTGTTGTACCCCGAACGCCGCTGGCGTTTCCCCCACAGGAGCACGGCAGACCCCACAAGCTCGTGGAAACCCCAAATGAGCACGGCAGACCACATAGGAGCACGGCAGACCACACCGGAGCAGGACACGCCACAGGAGCACGGAGACCGGCAGGAGAGGCCGGCGCCGGAAAATTGAATTCCGAGGCGTGCCGAAAAAGGCCACTCAAGACTATTTTCTTTCGAAAATATGATTTTTCTCCCGGCGCCCGGGAACCACGTACGGGCACGATTCCGGCACCCGGCCGGCGATCGAGCCAAAAGCCCGGGCCAGCACCCGGCGCCAGCGCCCGGGCCGGTTCCGGCGCCGGCCGGCGCCGGAAAATTGAATTCCGAGGCGGTGCCGAAAAAAAGGCCACTCCAAGACACATTTTTCTTTCGAAAATATTGATTTTCTGCTCCCGGCGCCCGGGAACCCCTTCCGGGCCGCTTCTGGCACCCGGGCCGGCGCTCGAGCCAAACGCCCGGGCCAGCACCCGGGCCAGCGCCCGGGCCGGTTCCGGCGCCGGCCGGCGCCGGAAAATTGAATTCCGAGGCGGTGCCGAAAAAAGGCCACTCCAAGACATATTTTTCTTTCGAAAATATTGATTTTCTCCTCCCGGCGCCCTGGAACCCCTTCCGGGCCGCTTCCGGCACCCGGGCCGGCGCTCGAGCCAAACGCCCGGGCCGGGGCACCCGGGCCAGCGCCCGGGCCGGTTCCGGCGCCGGCCGGCGCCGGAAAATTGAATTCCGAGGCGGTGCCGAAAAAAGGCCACTCCAAGACATATTTTTCTTTCGAAAATATTGATTTTCTGCTCCCGGCGCCCTGGAACCCCTTCCGGGCCGATTCCGGCACCCAGGCCGGCGCTCGAACCGAACGCCCGGGCCGGCACCTGGGCTGGCGGCCGAGCCGGATCCAGCGCTGGCGTCGGCTCTGGCCGTCGCCGGAAAAATTGAATTCCGAGGCCGCGCTAACAAAACTCATCCAAACAGATTTTTCGAAAGTGCATCATTTCTGCTCCCGGCGCTCGGAGGCTTCTGCGTCTCAAGGAGAGGTGGAGCAGACATTAAAGGAGGTAAAAGCAAGCACACGAACGCTATGGACGCGCGATGCGCTGCCACAAGCCAGCTTCCCGCAAGATCGGTCCAGAGTGGGAGGGGACGGAGCTGGGCGGGTGATGGACCACCAGAGCACTGCTCCAGCCTTCCCTCAGCCCTGGGTCTGCTGACCACACAGGAGCACGGCAGACCGCACAGGAGCGCGGCAAACCACAAAGGAGCAAGGCAGACCCCAAATGAGCACGGCAGTCTACACGTTCGCACGGCAGACCGCACAGGAGCACGGCAGACCGCACATGAGCACGGCAGACCAAGAAGGAGCACGGCAGACCACACAGGAGCACGGCAGACCACACAGGAGCACGGCAGACCACACAGGACACGGCAGACCCCACGGGAGCACGGCAGACCACACAGGAGCACGGCAAACCACACAAGAGCACGGCAGACCATACAGGAGCACGCCAGACCACACAGGAGCACGGCAGACCACACGTTCGCACGGCAAACTCCACAGGAGCACGGCAGACCCCAAAGGAGCACGGCAGACCACAGGAGCACGGCAGACCGTCTTCGAGGCCTCTTGGGCCGTCTTGGGGCCCTCTTGGAGCCATCTTAGCCGTCTTGGAGGCCATCTTGGCCGTCTTGGAAGACATCTTGGGCGTCTTGGAGGCCTCTTGCGCCGTGTTAGGGCCCTCTTGGGACCGTCTTGGGGACTTCTTGGGCCGTTTCGGGGCCATCTTGAAGGCCTCTTGGGCGATCTTAAAGCGATCTTGGGGGCCTCTTGGGCCGTCTTGGGCCGTCGGAACGCGGCAGGCCATCATTTAGTCTGTTCTGTTGCGTTTATGGGTTTCTCTGACGTTCTCGCCAATACGGTCTCTGACGCACGTGGTGGATAAAAAACGGCGCTTCCCGTTCTTGTCCGGTCAGGTTCCCCAAAATGGCCATTTCGCTCGAGACATCCTCGAAAAATCGAGGTGTTGGAGGCTATCGTTTAAGACGTCTTATGTCAAAAATGACGGTTTCGCTCGAGACATCCTCAAAAAATCGGGATGTTGAAAAATATCAAAAATTTTTGTTATGCATGAAAAATGAGCGTTTCGCTCGAGACATCCTCGAAAAAATGAGATGCCGACAGAGGTGTTTTAGAACCTTTTATGTCAAAAAAGACGTTTTCGCTCGGGACGTCCTCAGAAAATGAGCAGGTGGTCTGCCGTGCTCCCGTGTGGAGCACGGCAGACCACGGCCATTTCGCTCGAGACATCCTCAAAAAATCGAGGTGTGGTCTGCCGTGCTCCTGTGTGGTCTGCCGTGCTCCTCAACAGGAGCACGGCAGACCGCGCGTAGGAACCGAGAGGAGCACGGCAGACCAAGACGAGGAGCACGGCGGACCAGGCTTAGGAACCGAGAGGAGCACGGCAGACCAAGACGAGGAGCACGGCAGACCAGGCACCAAGAGCGCCCTCAAGACGACGGAAAGGATGACCAAGACGAGGAGCACGGCAGACCAAGACGAGGAGCACGGCAGACTATGCCCTAAGAGTGCCCTCAAGACGGCCGAACAACGGCAGACCCCATAGGAGCACGGCACCTGTGGTCTGCCGTGCTCCCCACAGGAGCACGGCAGACCGCGCGTAGGAACCGAGAGGAGCACGGCAGACCAAGACGAGGAGCACGGCAGACCAGGCTTAGGAACCGAGAGGAGCACGGCAGACCAAGACGAGGAGCACGGCAGACCAGGCACCAAGAGCGCCCTCAAGACGACGGAAAGGATGACCAAGACGAGGAGCACGGCAGACCAAGACGAGGAGCACGGCAGACTATGCCCTAAGAGTGCCCTCAAGACGGCCGAACAACGGCAGACCCCATAGGAGCACGGCAGACCACAGAAGAGCACGGCAGACCAACAGGAGCACGGCAGACCACACAAGAGCACGGCAGGCCACACAGGAGCACGGCAGACCACACAGGAGCACGGCAGACCACAAAGGAGCACGGCAGACCACACAAGAGCACGGCAGACCCCACAAGAGCACGGCAGACCCCACAGGAGCACGGCAGACCCCACAGGAGCACGGCAGAGCAGACCCAAAAGGAGCACGGCAGACCACACAGGAGCAAGGCAAACCACAGGAGCACGGCAGACCACACAGGAGCACGGCAGACCCCACAGTAGCAAGGCAGACCCCAAAGGAGCACGGCAGACCACCGGAGCACGGCAGACCACGCAGGAGTACGGTCCGTAGCCATTTTGGCTCAAGCCAGCTTGTTCAGGCGTGCTTGGGCAGGCGATGGCGCGGGAGGTTCTGCGGGGCGCGGCTGGTGCCCGTGCCTCGGCAGACCGTCTGGTGCAGAAGTTGGTCAAGCAGCACGCGGAGGCCCGCGAGGAGGCCGCCTCCCTGAGGCGCTCCCTTCGGCAGCTCCTGGGCGGCTTCGAGGTTCTCATCGGGGACGCGGAGCTGGCGGACCGCGTGGCGGCGCTGATTCCTGCCTTGCGCGCACTCCTTAAGGGCGAGACGCCCTCGCCCGAGGACGTGCTCAGGCGCAACGTCGCGCTACACGCCGACGCCGAGGGCGAGAGCGTGGCAGAGGCGCGGCCCGCGCGCCTTCGGCAGATGCAGAGGAGTGCGCGTCTCGAAGCTCGTCTGCAGGGCGTCGGTGGCGCGGAGGTGCTCGGGCGGAAGCTGTACGCCGTGGCGGGCAACCCGGCCGTGCTTCGCGAGCAGGCTGCCCCGTTCTGGCCGCGGCACCCCCCAGGAGTCTGGGAGCAGCTGGGCGGCGCCGGCTGGGAGAGCAGGACTGCGAGCGGTGCTGCACGCGCGGAGGCGCGGCCGCCGCGGGCGCGGGACGCCTTCCTCACGGTCCAGAGCGTTGGGCCTTGGGAGACGCTGCCCCCCGTGTCCATCCGCTGCACGTGTGGCGCCGTGGTCTACGCCTCGGCTGGTCTTCACGCGCGTGCTGACGCTGTGGCTGGTGCTGGAGGGCCCCTGCCGACGGGCTCCGCGGGCTCGAGTGGTGGTCACGTTGAGGCCGTCTCCAGCCCCGTGGGCAATGCGGCCGACTCGGCCGAGTTCGACTACCTGGAGGTGGGTGCTGCCGAAGCTGAAGTGGATACGGCCTGCTCGGTGTCGGAGGCGGCGCCACAGGCCAGCACTGCGGTTCTGGCGTACCTGCACGCTCACCCTGCGGCGCTCCTCTCGGGAGGCGGCGGGGCCCTCGCGGCTCCTGTGGCTGGCGGCACTGGTCCTGGCGCTGGTTTCGAAGGCAGCCGCGTCCGCAGGAAGCGTGGTGCAAGCACGGGGCGGCGCGCCCGTCGCGTCCGCTTCGACCTGCGTCCCGTCGTCATCGGCACGGCCTTCGAGGAGGAGTCGGAGGAGGCCCCCCCGCGCGGAGGCGGGGCTGGCGGCGTGGACGAGCCCGTCCGCGGTCTCTGGGCCTTTTTGGACGGCCTCTCGGTAGCTTCGATCGCCTGTGTTGCTCACGGGCCCTCGCTCGCGCTCGAGAGGCTCCTCGTCCTTGCCGAGGCCCAGGTGCAGGACGGTTAGCCTTGCGTGCGGACGCTAATTCCGTTTGCTCCGTGCATTAGCATTTCTTGTATTTGAATGTGTACGTGAGCTTGCAACACTACGCTGTTGTCTCTGGAGCTACGAGGTCTGTGAGTGAGTCCTTCCTCCGTAGCCTTGCGTGCGGACGCTAATTCCGTTTGCTCCGTGCATTAGCATGTCTTGTATTTGAAGGTGTACGTGAGCTTGCAACACTACGCTGTTGTCGTTGATCTTTGAAGTCCTTTTGCTTCAGCTTGATCTTTGGTGCAGCTTCGCTGCTTCTGCATGCCTTTCGGCACCGCCCGCCCTCGTGGCCCTGGGGCCTAGGCGCCCCCGTTGGCCCTGGCGGCCTGCCCTCGGGGAGGCCCGAAGCGGCCCCTCGCGAGGGCGTGCTGGGGGTTGGCCCGAAGCGGCCCCTCGGGGAGGGCGGCCCGAAGCGGCCCCCTCCTGCTGGCCCTGGAGGCTCCTGTGTGAGAGCCTCGGGCTCTCCTTTTTTCCAGCCTTTAGAGGCCCCGCAGCCCACAGCCCACGCAGGAGTACGGCAGACCCCATATGAGCACGGCAAATCCCAAATGAGCACGGCAGACCACAAGAGCACGGCAGACCACGCAGGAGCACGGCAGACTCCACAGGAGCACGGCAGACCACAAAGGAGCACGGCAGACCACACAGGAGCCCGGCAGACGCCACAGGAGCACGGCAGACGCCACAGGAGCACGGCGGAACCCACAGGAGCACGGCAGACCGCGCGCGGGTACAACATAAACGCGCCTTTTTGTTGTACCCCGAACGCCGCTGGCGTTTCCCCAACAGGAGCACGGCAGATCTCACAGGCGCGCGGCAGACCCCAAATGAGCACGGCCGACCACAGGAGCACGGCAGACCCCAAATGAGTACGGCAGACCCCAAAAGAGCACCGTAGACGCCTCAGGAGCACGGCTGACCACACGGCAGACCCCATATGAGCACGGCAAATCCCAAATGAGCACGGCAGACCACAAGAGCACGGCAGACCACACAGGAGCACGGCAGACTCCACAGGAGCACGGCAGACCACAAAGGAGCACGGCAGACCACACAGGAGCCCGGCAGACGCCACAGGAGCACGGCAGACGCCACAGGAGCACGGCGGAACCCACAGGAGCATGGCAGACCGCGCGCGGGTACAACATAAACGCGCCTTTTTGTTGTACCCCGAACGCCGCTGGCGTTTCCCCAACAGGAGCACGGCAGATCTCACAGGCGCGCGGCAGACCCCAAATGAGCACGGCCGACCACAGGAGCACGGCAGACCCCAAATGAGTACGGCAGACCCCAAAAGAGCACCGTAGACGCCTCAGGAGCACGGCTGACCACACAGGAGCACGGCAGCCTGGGCCGGTTCCGGCGCCGGCCGGCGCCGGAAAATTGAATTCCGAGGCGGTGCCGAAAAAAGGCCACTCCAAGACACATTTTTCTTTCGAAAATATTAATTTTTCGTTCCCGGCGCCCGGGAACCCCTTCCGCTTCGAGAATGGTGGTTCTTATGCTAGTTGCACCATAGGTACAGCTAGGTATAAGATATTTATAGCAAGGGATAAGTACCTAAGTATTTCTAACTATTTCTATGTGCCCTTAAGTATTTGTCTTGTCGCATAATTATACTTAGGTTAGTTATAAGTATTTCGCTGATTATTAATGACGCTGGAAGATACTTATAACTACCGCTAAGTTACTTACCCGTGCTGCGATGCAATACTTATAAGTAACATATATGTTACTTATAAGTAACTTATAACTTCCTTCCACCCCTCCTTCGCTTCTCTTCCCCCCCCGCCGCGCGCCCGCCCGCCGCGCCGCAGGGGCGTCGCGGCCCGCGGCCCCCACGCAAAGGAGGACGAGGAGGAGGGCGAGGAGGAGGACGAGGAGGAGGAGGAGGAGGGGGAGGAGGGATGAGGAGGAGGAGGTGGATGTAGTTTTCAGGAACGATTTTCGGAGTTTGGGACATCTTTTTTGGACTTGGTGAGGTTTTCTGGAGTTGGAGAGGTTATCTGGATTTGAAGAGGTTTTTCAGGATTTGGGATTTGCCCATCGACCTGGAGCTCGTCGCGGCGCCGCCTGGTGGGTGCTCGCCGCAGTAGCGATGGCGATCGCTTGGGTGAGGAGGAGGGGGATGGGGAAGGTAGCGATGTCGATCGCTTGGATGGGGAGGAGGAGGAGAAGCGATGGCGATCGCTTGGGTGAGGAGGATGGGGATGAGGAAGGTAGCGATGGCGATCGCTTGGAGGAGGAGGAGGAGGAGGAGGAGGAGGAGGAGGAGGAGGAGAAGCGATGGCGATCGCTGGGGGAGGCGAAGCGATGTCGATCGCTTGGAAGGAGGAGGATGAGGACGGGAAGGAGGAAGAGAAGCGATGGTGATCGCTTGGGGGAGGGCGGGGTGGGGGGAAGAGGACGAGGGGATAGCGATTACGATCGCTGGTCTTTTGTTTTCGCGCTTGCGGGCGCGCGGCGCGCTCCGCGCTTGCGGGCGCGCGGCCTCACCGCGGAGGCGGAGTCGACGGCGGCGGCATTTGCGCCTTCGCCGCCGCTGGCGCCGCTGGCGGCGCTGGCGGCGCCTTCGCCGCCGCTGGCGCTTTCGCCGCGGCGCGCGCCGCCTTGGCCTTCGCCGCCTTCGCCGCCGCCTTCGCCTTCGCCGCCGCCTCCTTCTCCTTCTTCTCCTTCTTCTCCTTCTTCTTCTTCTTCTTTTCCGCCTTCTCCGCCCTCAGCTGCGCATTTTCCGCCTGAAGGCGCGCCTGCTCCCCCCTCCGCAGCAGCTGCGCCTCCTGCGCCTCCTTCCTCAGCTGCGCGTTCTCCGCCTCCAGCTCCGCCTCCCGCCGCAGCGCCGCGTCCCTCTCGCCGATCGCGATCACTAGCTCGCGCTCCGCCTCATTCGTCGTCGTCGTCGCCGCCGCCGTCGTCGTCGTCTCGTCGTCATCGTTTCCCGCCTCCTCCAGCCACAGCGAGAGCTGCACGGCGCGCTCTGTCTGCTCCGCGTTGACAGTCTGCATAGGCGGGGGGAGGGGGGGAGGGGCGGCGGAGTGAAGGGAGGAGGGGGTGGGGGGAGGGGCGAGGAGGGGGAGGAGGGGGAAGGAGGAGGTGGAGGAGGAGGAGGAAGGGGAGGAAGCGGAGGAGGAGGATTCGGGGGAGAGCGATGGCGATCGCTGGGAGGAGGGGGTATCCGCCTCCGCGAGCTGCTGCAGCAGGTTGTCGCGCTGGCGCCTGAGCGCCAAAGCGCGAGCCCCCTGCGCGAGCTCGCGCGGAGCACCCCACATCGCGCCTCCGCGCCCCGCGCGCGCGAGCCCCGCGCGCCTCCACGAGGCAGAGCGGCTGCGCGCGGCGCTCAGTGATCTCCTTTATCATTATCCACCTTCCTTTCAGCGATCGACATCGCTTTCCTTCTCCTCATCTCTTTTCCTTCTCCCCATCGTCATCGCCGTCGCTTCACCTCCCCCAGAAGGAGGAGGAGGGGCGACGGGGGGAACAGCGATGGCGACCGCTTGGGGGAGGGGGGAGTAGGACGTGCACGGACCGAACCCTACGGGTTGCAAAAACAAGAGAGGAGGAGGAGGAGGTGGAGGAGGGATCATAGGGGGAGGGGGAGGGACGGGGCATGTAGCGATGGCGATCGCTTGTGTGAGGAGGAGGGGGATGGGGGGAGGTTGCGATGACGATCGCTTGGAGGAGGAGGAGGAGGAGAAGGAGAAGCGACAGCGATCGCTTGGGGGAGGGCGGGGAGGAGGAGGGAGAAGCAGAGAAGCGATACCGATCGCTAACTTAAGTAGGCGGCAATCGTTTTGAACGATCGCTGTGCATAGCCGTTGTCGGCTTTGTAGTCGCGGGTGACGCCCGCGTGCGCGACGCGAGTGACGCCCGCGGGCGCCATGGCGGCCGACCTGGTGAAGCAGCTGAAGGCCGCCAAGTCGGTCCTCGCCCAGATCGGGAAGAAGTCCGACGCGTACAAGGAGATCGCGGAGGCGCAGAGCGCCATGGCGATGGCCATCATGGCGCCGTGGACCTTCATCTCCGCCGAGGACTCGGCCATGCTGGTCCTGGAGATCGGCCAGATGCCTTTCGGCAAGAGGGCGCTTGCCACGCTGCTCGGCCGCGTCACGACGTTGGCGACGGCCTCAGCGCAAATGTTGGCCGCTAACGCGGCCGCAAGCGCGGAGCTGGCGGGGTCGGGCAGGACGCCGATGCAGGACTTCTCGTCCATCCTCGCCTACCTCACGAAGAGGCAGTGGGACAAGATCCTGGACGAGCGCAACGACTTCATGGGTCGGGTTGCGGTCGTCCTGCAGGCTTGTAAATCCCTCGGGTGGCGCACGCTGCATGAGCCGACGGTTCAACTGGCGGCGTGCGTCGCCCTCCTCGTGGACGGCTTCGATTGGACGATGCGCATGTGTCCGATGGCACAGTGGGGCTATTTCAAGCGGGCGAAAACATACGCCAAGAAGCTCCTGCCGTGGAAGTTGTGTAAGCAGCTTGCCGCGACCGAGCCGTCCTTCGTCAGCGAGCTCCCTGCGGACCCGACTGACATGCCGAAGGTGCACCCCGAGTGGTACTCGCGCGCGTATGGTGGCGGAGGGGAGGCCCCAGCAAACGAGTGCCCGCTGGACCGCACCATGTTGATGGTGCTGTGCGACGCGGTCCCGATGCGAGAGTCCAAGGCTCGCCTCAAGGCCACGTCCGATGGCAATCGGTCGTCCGTCGACATGGCGTTGCAGCTCGCGGAAAGGGCGATGACGATGCAGGGTGGCGGCCGCCAAGGTGCGCGAGACGGCGTGCCATGCAGGCGTTACACTCCGCAGCCCATTGCGCCCGCCACGGACGGCGCGATTCCGATCGGCGACACGGAGTCGGCGCCACCGCCGACGACGCACAGCGTGGAGGAGGCCAGGGACAAGATCTTCGCGAAGCTCGGCGGCAAACAATGCCTGCCAGATGTGGACAAGACGCCGCCGAGCGAAGACGAGTCGGAGGGCAGCGACGGGGGCGACTCCGATAACAAGAGCACCGACGGCGTGGAGGAGGCGGAGCCGCCACCGCCGATGAAGAAGAAGCGCAAGGCCGCTGGCGACGGCCACCCCGCGCCCCCCAAAGCCAAGGCCACTGCGAAGAGGAAGAACAAGAAGAAGAAGAAGAAGACTGAGGCCGAGCACGTGGGCGCGAAGGGGGTCAAGAAACCACCGAAACCCGCATATGCGGTGGAATGGTCCCGCAACCAGGTCATGTGCCGCACGGGTGCGAAAGGTCCAGGCCAGTCGATGGCCATCAAGTTCAGCGACCACGGCGGCAGCAGCGACAAGGCGATCGCTGCGGCTAAGAAGTGGGTGCGCAAACAGGAGAAGAAGCTCGGCATCCACACTTGATCGGCAGGGGTGCTGCGACGATGCAGCCTGCATGCGTGTGCTCGCACACGACTAGATAGCCGATTGTGGCTATGAATAGGGAGTGGTGGAGGAGGGGCAGCGATGATGATCGCTTGGTGTAGGGATGGTTGTTCGGGGGGGTGTAGGGTGCAGGACAGCGATGGGGATCGCTTGAGGTCGGTTGGGCAGGGCAGCGATGATGATCGATTGTGGTTGCAGGGATTGTAGA